TTCAGTTGGAGGAGGTACAGATAGATGGGCATCAGAAGGCATCGGACTCTGAACATTGGGAGCCGTTCTGTGCAGTCTCAATGAATAACAATAGGTCAGTGCTGGTGCAAGAATGAATTATTCATTAGTGTGCATTATGAAAATACACTTGAATGAGTCTGGAAGCTGTTCTTCTGGGGAGAACTTGATGGAAGTATATAGAGATACATATCCGAAAAAATTTAAAATATGCATTTTTGGTGACTTCGGATAAAATATTTAGGGCCCATTGCTGTCTGATTTATTGTGGCATTTCCTAAATACATGATAAGCAGCTCCTGTATAATTTTGGTGTTGACCACCTCAGTATGGCCCCAGCACATGCCTTTTCCATTATTTTTTTTTTTTTACCCAGTCTATAACAATGAGAAATATCCAAATAACTCCTGAGCCCTTTAAAGAGTCCTTTTCTGCTCAGAGGCTGTAAAGAAGAAAATACAGGAGTCAGTTATGAACACCTGAACTTAATGTTGGTAATGAGAGTGTGGTTATCTCTTCTCTTTTTCCTATTTACACCACCGTGGAAAACATCCCCTTTCACCTTGGAGCCAAGGCTGTTATTGCAACATTACAAAATTGCTGAGCAATTTTCTTTCTCTGCTTAGCTATTATTTCCATTGAATCATCAGTTACCACCCATTGATTGAAACCAAACATCAAAGCAAACCCCAAAACACATTCTGAATAAGTTGGCACCCTTGTTTTCCACATTATTTCTTCTGTGAAAACAGCAGGAATTTATACACAGCATCTGTCTGTCTTTCTTGTCTTAGGGCTTTACTTTCACACCACAAACTATTCCAGAGAAATGAACATTTGGAAGGCTAACACACAAGGATGGATTAATTTATCAAAGCATTAAACTCCATAGAGATTTCTTTTTTAAGTCAGCTGCCATTGATTGCAAGACAGCAGGATGTACCAAGGGGACAGAAACACAGGTATGAAAAATGAATTCAACCCAAGGCAAGGCAACAGGGAAGGACTAAGATGTGTAACTGTCATTTATTAAATCACATAAACTGCAGAATCTTATCTTCCTGCAGAAGAAATTTTGGTAAGCAAAACTAAGTGCTATAGAATCATGATCTCTTAATGGAAATTGTAGCAAGGTGGTTTTTTCAGCTGGGAAAAAAAAATAAAATTGAGTGATGGTTATCCACAACACAATCAGAAGTTTAAAACCATACTTTCCACTTTACCAAACCATTTTTATGGGCTGGATTTGTCTGGGGAAGGGAGAAGTCTCCTGTTTTTCCTTTCCCCAGCATCAGTGATTAACATATATAGGTCACCACATCAGATGTAGGAATCCTCCGACAACACACTTCTTCTGAAATAATGCACTGCATTCAAAGACCCCACAGAACTGTACACAAAGTACTCCATTAACAGCAGGTGCTGTACAGAAAAGCTCTCTTTAAAAGAGCTTTTAATTACAGTATATCTTTGTTTAGAAGCCACCTTCAACTACCTTTTCCTTGCAAGCTGCAGCGGAAAGCAATTAAATGTATGAGAAAACCACCTTCAATTTAAAGCTGCAGGAGAAATCAATTAGTGTGAGAGAGGGTTTAGCCTGTACACAAAGAAATACGGTATGTGAAGTCAGTGGAGGCTGGGCATTACTTTGGCATAATTAATATAAGTTGTAAACCTTAAGATGTGCAACTACCCCATGTTGAAAATCCTAGCTAGCTGTATGGCCCATGTTTATTCCCAAGTCTCCCTCTAAGAATGGAGTTTACACAAAATTACATTTATCTCTCTCAGCTGTGTAATTCACACCTCAAAATTCCCTTTACAGAGGTGAAGGATTTCAGCAGAGCTGAGTGAGCAGGAAGACACAGGGATTTATTTATTTATTTGAGTGAAGCCACTTGCATAGATCTGGCTACAAAGAGTTTACTAGAGAAGGAAAGGATCTTTTTGGTCTCGTTTGGTATTTTTAATTTACAAGACTTGTTTTTAATACTGGAACTAATCTCATACTAAAACTTCTTCCTCAACCCTTTTCCTATCACAGTATAGCAGTCATAGTGCTAAAAGGGGTTCAAAGGTTTGGTGGATTTTTTTGTTTTGGATATTGGGGTTTTTTTAAATAATTTAAATTTACAAAATGGTTTCTGTGTTTTTAGGAGCTGATCTTTGATGATCAATGACATCAAAACGTGGGGAAAAAACCAATAAAACAAACAACAACAAAACAAAAACAAACTATCAAATAGCTCCACTGAAGTTAAAGACAAAAATGTTCCTTACTAAAACAACACCAGAAAATGCTTCATTTGATGGCGTTTTGTAGAGGATACAAAGGTTAATTAGATACTTTCTATTGCATTATATAGCAGGAAACCTCTGTTAATTACTGATTCTCTAACATGACTGATTCGTTAAAAACTGACTATGGAACCACGAATAAAAAAAAAAAATTATCTTTCCTATTCCAGCATAAGCTGTTCCAGGTTCTATGAACTGTACCCTCTGGGTGTTGATTTTTTCTGGAGAGTACCTAATTTACTTCTGCAGTCTAAGCCTATGACCCTTTATCAAAATTAGATATTAACAAAGACACTGAATGGTTAATTTTAGCATACAGCATTACTAAAACCCTAAAATGAATGAGACTTCCACCAACTTCTAAACACCTCAGCATCTGCTCCTGTTTTCTCATGTCCTACATTACAAGAGAAAAGGTTGATATTAATGGCTTGTTTTACCACTATTTTTATTTCAACTTAATACCATAAGTGAGGTGTTTCTATAAATGTTTAAATTTATGAGCTTTTGTGAGTTTTCTCAACCAATTAGTCAAATTTCTGCCTTGAAGGCATCTCCTTGCTAAATCCAGCTTTTTTAGGTTTTTGTTATTTAGTGCACTACTTTATTCCTTTAAAGGTGAAGTTCAATTATTTCTCTTTTGAAGGTCTGAGGACCTTGCTTAAAATGCCAAGTGCAATAAAAACAGTACCCCCCTTGCCTTTTGCAGGGAGACATAGAAGGATAATAAGTTGGTTGTATTTAATGGAATTTTGGAATTAATCATGTGCGTGTGTACATGTGCATGATGATACCAAAATAAGGATTAAATGCTGTCAAATCGTCAAGAACACTTGTTTTTTTAACATTTTTCCATGTTTATTTCTTAACAAGGAACAAAAGAAGGAAAGCTTTTCGGCTGAAACAAAGGACAGGGCAGCAGGAGACAACAAACCTGGATGAAAACTTATACTAACATTGTTTACAAGCACAGAAATAGGTGTTCATAGCCACACAAGTGTAAAGGAGATCAAATTATAGTGGAAAAAAGCTGTATTTCTGCTCTTACTACTTGGTGAATCTACTGTTGCCCCTCTTCTGAATTATATTCACTGTCGTTATGTATTTTTATTTAAATTTTGAATATAACTCTCTATGCTGTCTTTTTTCCTCTGTGCTGGTACTGAATTCACAGGGGATGGCAAAAGTTTTTTGCAGACAACCCAAGTCTGCTGTGAGATCCTGGTGAACTTTGCAAATAGGTGGTTCTTGGCCATTGCAATTTATTCTTCATGTCAGGAGGAATGGCAGGAGATTTCTGCCAACAGTAGAAATGGCTTCAGGTCATCCCCTGTTAAAAGGGTCTGGAGACTTAACAGAGAAGAAAAATAACTTTAAATTTGACAGTGGTACCTGTTTATCATGGCTGGATGCTCATGAGCAGCAGCCTTAGAAGGCTGTAGGGCAGACCCTACACCTTGAGCCCTGTTGTGCAACTCCTGGTAGTAGGAATCACCTTATGGGATCCACCTTGGCTAGTGAAGGTTGTTTCTGCAGGGATTTTAAAAATCTGCTTAGGAGCCAATTGTCTCTGGTAGGCAAGTTCAGCATGCATGCATCTCTCCCAGTCCAAACTTTGAGTAAAAACTGAGATTAATTCAATTAAGTTTAAACATTTCAGCTTTTTTATGTTATGGTTACACACATAAGTAGAGCAATAACTGAATACAAATGTTGCATATTTACTGTGGCATGATCCAAGCAATTACTACTAAAGTATTAAGGAAAATCATTATTTCACTCTTTTAATTTTATTTTGTAATTAGGAGGGAAACGTATTTTGGTGAATACATTTATATTTAAAAGTTATATATTATGCTTATTTTTGTTTTGAGAGGATGATTTCACCCCTGTTATTACAAGCCTGTTAACAACAATTAAAATAGTTATTAAAATGGCATTTATAGCTTTTGTACTTGCTTTTCTTGTTAGTTTTCATCAAATAGTTCACAGTCATATGATGTATGCAGTCTGCTAATAGTCAGGAGCATAGACTGTCAAAAATGGTTTCAAACATCAGGATAAAGTCAGCTTTTTATGTACTGGGATTATTAGTTCATCCTTTTCACACGAGTATTGTGCTGGTTGCTCATTATGCCTCTGAGTGCTCTTACTTTTTGTTCTCAAAAATGATTTGAAAAAGTTTAGAAGGAAAACTTAAAAGCAGAGCAAAAAAAAAAAAAATGCTGGCAACTTTTTGGAGCGCCAGCGTTTTTACTGCTTTCCATTGAAATATTTTCCTGACTTTCTGTTCAGATAACAATTTTTGTCCAAGGTGCTATGGGGAGGGTTGACTGCATCCCTGCAAAGTGCAACACAGTAAATGTCTGTGTATATTCTCCGTATACCATACTATTAAAATCAATCTGTTCAGGTTAGTTTCCATTCTGAGGAGAGCTGAGAAACGCAACCACCAGTTTCTGTCACGTGCCGCGCCGCATCAATTAAAAATAAATTACATTTCATGCAAAGAACCTAACTTAAAAATCTCAGCAAACAACAACAGAACCTTTTCACTAATGATTTTCAGTCATCAGAAGTGGAGAGAGACTCAGACAGCAGACAGCATGGTCCCAGCATGCTTTTTGCCTTTTTTTTTGTTTGCACAGTAGCTGTCAGTTGCAGCCCTGCAGGTAGTAGAACCCAGTGGGAAGAGGGGCGGGACAGAGCGATGCTGCCTGAACTGACAGCAAATTTAAATTACTGAGCTTTCTTTTGCTTTTTTTCTTTCTTTGAGTGCCCTTTCCTTTTTTTTCTCTCTTTTCTTTTTTTTTTTTTTTTTTGGTATTTTTCTACTCTGCGACAAACTGAAAAGATTCGAGCACACACTAATTTAACAACCCTGCTTCGTCGTCTTCTTTTTTTTCCCCCTTCTGCTTCCAGGATAATTAAAAGAGAAACCTGTAAAGGCAACGTTCCTTCAAGCAAGTTGGTGCTGTAACGTGCTGGTAAGATGAATTTAATTTATTTTTTTTTCCTTTCCTCATCTTTTCTTTTCCTTTTTTGGAGCAGAAAAGCTTTTGTATATCTAACGCAGTCATAAGTGTGGTTCCCCTGCTGTGGAGGGTTAGGAGGTAATGAAAAGGTGCAACGGCTTGATATGTGACCTTCTCCTATTACTTAAAATGGGGAATAACAGCTTTCGTGCCTGTCCTCATGATGCTTTTCTCTCTATGAACTGACTATTTGCTCAACAGAAGAGATGCTGTGATTGTCGCACTATGACAATGAGGACTTGATTGTTTTTTGGTTACTGTTCCATGCTCCTATCAGAGCAGATACTTGAGTTGGGGGGGTTGTGTTTGTGATTTTTTTTTCCCTCTCAACATTGCCTAAAGCACTGATATGACAGGGGGGTGGAGATGGGGGTGGAGGAGATGGTCTTGGGTATCATCCTGCCTGTTCAGCTGTTTGCTATGTAGGGAAGTGCAACATTGAAACTTTTTTTTTAAATAAATAAATATTTTTTTCCGCTTTCATCAAGTGGGGTCAGTTTCTCCAGGATTTATTGTTGACAATGCTGGGTAAAGTTCTTGCTGTCCCTTGCATTTTCCCTCTGGAGAAGGGGGGAAGGGGTGTTCCACTCCATACCTTGTCACACCATTGTAGTAGCTAATTGCAAGAAGCTGACAAACTTTGAGATGAAATAAAAGGCATGGCTTTTGTAAAGAATGAGTTTGATGCTGTGGATCAGCTCCTATGAATACCAGCCTGCCAGATACAATCAGATCTGTGCTATACACATTGCAATACACTGATTTCCAAGATCTCCTTTGTAGTGTTTTTCAGGTACTAGCACGTTATCATTTTATTTTTTTAGCAAATGAGATGTGTTTTGTTTTGTGTTCAAGCTTGCAAATCTTAAAAGATGGTGTGTTTTTCTCAGGCTTTCTGAATGTAATTCTGCCAGGTATTGAATGCTACAACATCTACTGAAATCAACAGGAAGGCTGAGCTTGTCCTGTATTTAAGAGAAAATTGCTGAGTACTGGCAGGACTGGATCTTATGATTGCTGAACTATCTCTGTTTTCTCAACTGCAATTAATTTTTGGTGCACTTAAGGCTGGATCCTGTAGATTTTACTGTAGTATTCAGAATAAGCACTATTCTTACACTTAGTTGCTGTTTTGTGGTCATGCTGATGAAAACTTTTTGAACATAGGATGGGGATTTTAGGAGAAACTGAATAGAGTTAGGAAACCAGCATGATTTAGTCCTCTATCTCCTTGAAAGCTCTTTTCCTTAATTTTATTTAAAGAGGTATCCTGAAACTAATAATCGGCACATTGATGCATTAGACTTTCCAGACTCAAAGGTCTGTTTTGCAAAATGCATAATGTGATAGCATGAGAGAAGTTGTGCAAGAAGGGTGGAGAGGAGGAGCAGTGGGATGGAGAACAGAGTCCTTTCCGTGTCGATGGAGAGGGGGAGAGGATGTGCCAGTGCCATATGGAAAATCACACCCTCTCACAGAAACTTTGTTAGGGCAGAGGGTTAAGGGTGCTGCACTTGCAGAAGTTCAGCACTCCCTATTTCAGTCTCAGTTTCAAGCGGTGCAGTACTTTTCTGAAGGTTTACTTTGCTTGTGCAGAAAATGCTGTTGGCTTGTGAAATGAGGGCGTTGGAGATCCCACATCTTGCTTTTGCCCTGAAAACTTGCCTTCCCCCACACCAACATCAAGGTCTGCGAGGCCCAGAAAATTAGGCTTTGTCCCTTGTAATCCTAAACTCCCATCCATTTATAACCAGAGAAGAAAAGGGTTGAATTCAGTGTTCTTGTTATGGAAATAAGTTTTTATTCACTCAGTATCAACTGACAGTTAGAAGCGTATCTGATGTAATATGAATAAACTGTAGGCTGTTGTCAGTAAATTATGCATTTATAGTCTCACATTCTCCTAGAAACAGTGCTTTTGCAATGCTCAAGTGGCCTAATGGGGTGAAACAGCTACCAATACTCTCATCTGAGCTTCCTAATCAGCCAAAGTCATGAGAAGTCCATGGTGGTTAGTTCCCACTGTCCATGGTGGGCATCTCAGCCATGGGTGAGGCTGCAGGGAGGAGAGCCTGAGGTTAGCCAGGGGTCTTCGGTCACACAGGTGATGTCAAAATTACTGTTATGAGGCAATATGAAAACATAGCACAGCTGAGTTTAGATGATGAGTTTTGTGGCAAGAATGGTTTCCTAAATTCTTAAAATACAAAAATGATGATATCTGTACATATACCTTAAAAACCAATTACCCTAACCCAATCTACCAGTCTACATCCCCTTTGAATGTAGCCTTCAAATATATATATATTTTTAATTAATCTTTTCACTTTAAATTGCTGTTGGCTTCTAGCAATGCTGTCCTCTATTCAGTGTCTGGAAATTTCTAGTTGAATGCAACTGCTTTCATTGTAACAAAAAAAGAAACGCAAGCCAGAAAACTTGCTGTAATTTCCTGTCAGTAACAGAGAAATAAGAAAACACTAGGCTAATAAAAATGATAATCTGAGTTTACAACTGTTAACAAGATTCCTGAATAGAAATGGTGCTATTATGAACAAAGAATTTCTATCATCACTAGAGGAATGTAGTATAAAATTATGAGGTTTATTATTAGGGTCCTGTCAACCAATCAGAAATCAACCCATAATCTTACTTGTGAAATACCATAAGTTTTAGCATCTTCCCTCCCCTCCTACTAATAAAATATTAAAGAAATTTTATAATTAGAAACTTTGATAATATAACTGTGAATTTCATTTACAGCAAAAAGCTGGCATAATTCTGTATTTCTTCCACATCTCTAACATTTTCCATATAAAGTCACTGCAAGTCTCTGAGTTGCACACAGCAGGTAAAATTAAGGTAAATCACAGACTTGCCATGGGAAATAATGATGGGATTTCATCAGTTGCTTTCTCCTGGGAGAAGCCAAATTCCCAGATTTTTCTCAGGACTCTGAAAAATAAATAAAGAATGTTGTAGCACCTCCTTCCCTGAAAGAGATTATTCATTAGAGTTGCATTTCTGGTGAGCTCAATTCAAGTGTGACAGAATCTTGGTAAAATTTTTAGATTTTAATCACTGCAGATTCTTTCATTTCATTTTAGGAGTAAAAGACTCTTAGATTTCTCTTCTAACTGCAAATGATTTATGTCATTGTAAGGGGCTTGCTCTGCTTCCATTTGATTTAACATATTAGCCATGGTTTTTTCAGCAAGAACCACCCTTGCAAGAACCCTGTACATAGGCTTAGAGTGACCCCAGGTCTCTGATCCTCCCCCACTACCTGATTGATAATATATTGGGCTGCCCCTTGCCTAAACACACTTCTCCCACAACTCTGGCAGCCAGTCACATGTCCTTCATCTCCTTGTGATGTGCACATGGCTCACTGCAGAGTCCTTGGGGCCCCTAACCCTGTGCAGAGTGTAGAGAACCCTAAAAATAATCTAAAACCTCCTAAGGACTGTCATTACCCCCAAGGCAATAGAGATCACAGTATTTATCAGGTCACTAGATAGGAGTTAAGAATATAAATAAGTATTTTAGCTACTAAGGTAAACAGTAAAATAATGGCAAGAAGGAAACAAAGTGAAAAGAGAACTTGAAGCCCAGAGAGTTCATTTTTAGACCATAATTATCATCACCCAAAGCCTTTCTGGGGTTTCTTTGCATGTCCCATGGTCTGACTACTCAGTTCCTGCCCTGGTGTGCTGTGAGTTCTTGAAGCCATGTCTTTCCTACTCACATGTAGGTTGTCATCTTCCTTGGGGATGACGACAAAGTGGGAGCAACTCAAAAGCTCTGCACATATATTTTTGTTTTTTTATTTTCCTTCTCAGTCTGGAACCTCCAACTGCCTCTGTGTTACCCATAGAGTTGATTGCTCTCTGTCCATGACATTTGGGCACCAGAGATAGGATTCATCTCATCCAAATTTAGATGCCTATAATGTGGATACCTATAGGTGAGTGTGCCACTTCTATGTCTCATTACAGTCAGAGGAAACTGTCAGGTGCTTTTTAGGCATCTGTTTTCCTACAATCCCATGGAAAGACATCATATTCAAAATTCAAACCATTTAATTTGCTCTCCTCGTCAAATTTTCTCAACTTTAGACATCTCCTGTAACTACTTCATGAAAACAGAGGATTTAAAACTCCATAAATTACATATGTTGAAAAACTATTGACTTATCAAGCCTCATATACCTGGTAGTGGACTTCAAACAAGGCTTATCCTAGTGCAGCTGGGACTGGATTGCATAGGCACATCCATACATCACTGACAAAATGTCACTCACATTCACCATGAGTCCTCCAGGGCTGCTGGAGGGAAGCTATCACAAGTGCATTCCAGGCAATGTGTTTAATATCTAATTAATCTTGTTCCTCGTGGTTAATTTTATTAAGTTGAACTGATCTAGTGAAAGGAGGTGCTGTGATTGGTTTATTTGTTCTACTTAGTAGGCCAGTGGCATTTAAAAGTCATGCTGCAATGCTATAAAAATCTCAAACTCAGGAAACTCCATGAGTGTAATGAAGTCTACCTATTTTAGGCGCCAGTATTATAATGAGTTGATATTCCTGATGTAAATTTTCTTATCCAGAGGACTCTTTGTTCATTTGAAAGCTTTCAGACTGATACTTTGTCTTCCTACATTTTTACAGCTAAAGCTGTGTTAAGAGTGCAAAAATTGTGTTCTGCAGAGCAGCCTCCATTTCCCAAAGGTACCTCACACCTTCAGCCCACCTGGCCATCTGTGGAGGGGTTTTTTGTGTCCTCTTGGCCCTGTGCTGGCCCCATGCAATTGTTTTCATGTCCAAGTCCGTGGTATGTGACATGAAGGGCTGTGGGTGATGCTGATGGGTCACAGCCCACCTGAGCAGAGGGTTAAAAGGGTCTGAGGGACGCAGCATCAGATCAGCCTTGCTTGCAAGGTCTAGAGGAAA